TGCTGTAAAAATTACGCAAACGAGGCGATGATAGGAGCCATGGTGGTGCCGATTAAATGCTCATAGAGTTCGCCTTGAGCATTCCTCACGCTAATTCACGACGAGATCACGCCGTGTGGCGAAATGTACGCTGGATAATGGCAAGCATAGTTACTTGTGATAGAATACGGGGCACGATGTTCACAAGGTTAATGCTTTTAAGTATACGCGCAGAATGACAGAAAAAAGAAAACAAGTTGGTGAGTACTGTGACCACAGTGAAGCATCATCTGCGGTATCGTTGAACTGTTTGCGTGGTCAAACACGATTGTGTCGAAGAATTATTAATTTATGATTGAAAAAATTGTGCTACAGTTGCTGTGAAAAACGAAGTTAGTGAGGAGTCACTACAAGCGGACACTACAAGTGGACACTACACGCGCAAACTATGAACGGAAATTCATTGAAAAAACTTGGAGGACAGAAGCTAGCACTGTAGGGGGAGGGGAGGTGGCAATCTTGCTCAATCGTTTTCAGATGCTACACGTGCGGTGATTACGATTACGAGATATGGCGCTGATTCAAAGTTCTTTTCCTAGTATCCTAGTAAGCCACTTCAGTTGCTATATCTGGCTTCTAATGAAGTCGATATCTGGGGGTGGGGGGGAGGGGTAGTAGAATGGAGCTGAAACTGACGCATGCGCTTTCATGGTCCCAAGTTTCGCGTGTAGTCTTATTCATTGATTTGGCGAGAACTGTTATTTTTTTTAACATTGGGCTTCACCCACACTTCCTGAAGTGCATGGAAAGGTTGTCTGTGATCGCCGTCTGCTGGCATGCATAACGAAGCTCTATCACCGCTCCTTGAGGCATCTTCCCGATTGCCCAACATATGCCTGGCACATGTTAGTGGAATAATATATACGAGGCGTATAATTCACGTTCAACGTATATTTTAGTTGACATGTTCGGCATTCTTATTTCTTCGCATTGGGGTCTTTCATCCAAGTTTTGTGAATAAATTCCAGTTGATAGTTTCAGCATCTATACTGTTCACTTCATTTCATGTCTTCTCTCTCACCTTTGTTTTTCGCAGCAACTGTATAGCGAAGTTTTTTCAATAATGAAAAACCAACTAGCCCACTACCTCAGTTAGCTCACTGTTAGTGAAGCCATTGATCATAAAAATAGTCCTAAGAGGTGGCTTTAGAGCTGAGCTAACTCTGGGAAGCAGCTCTAGAAAACAGAATTTCGATTTAGGACCGAACCTGTTTTTTTATATTTGTTTGCAAAATTTAGTTGAAAGGTGGGAATTTCATAACATGCAAGTACTGTGTTTACAATACGAAAGTGCACTGATGGCAACCATCACAGTTTTGCTGGTTTTTGCATCGAAAACAGACAAGCTTGATCTATGATTGTACACCCCTAGCTGCTGCGATGTCATGGGAAGACAAGTTAGCCCCCCAGCAGTGGTCTATATAGTGGCTAAGGCACTCGGCTGCTGACCTGAAGGTTGCGGGATCAAATCCCGGCTGCGGCGGCTGCATTTTTTATGGAGGGGAAAATGCTGTAGGCCCGTGTGCTCAAATTTTGGTGCACTCTAAAGAACCTCAGGTGGTTGAAATTTCCGGAGCTCTACACTACAACGTTTCTCATAATCATATGGCGGTTTCGGGACGTTAAAACCCAGATATTATTATTGTAATAATCAAGTTACGTTCTCACGGGAGATGACGGTGGGGTGGAGCTCTCGATGGCATTCCACGAAAGATTATGCTGGCCCAGTACTGTACGGGTAAATGCCGTTGCTGCAAGCATATTTGTCCGCATAAGTATTTTGCATAATGTGCAACCTCCTTCACATTTAGGTCCATCAGAATGAATGGTTCTAAGGGCTTGTACTCTCAGTGGCTTTTTGTAAAAGGGATTCCTGAGACTCAATAATTTATTGCAGCGTCGTAAAAGTATACCTTGGACGCCCCTAATACGAACGGAGAAATTTAGTAAGCTGTCGTTATATACATAAGTGTTGTATAAAGGCGAAAACCTTTAATGCCGCATGCTTACGTCCATACGTCCGTCTGCGCCCAGTCATGATACAGACTCACAATTGAATTTAAACATTCGACAGAAGTCTGTCTGGTTGGGTATAAAACTGGGAGAGGCTCCATTGACACGGAGCGAATAAAAAAAGAAAAGGTCCACGTAATTGTGGACCCCAGAAAAAACGGATACTCAAAAAATCTTCATTTGAGCCACCATCCGCCGCGCAGAACAACACAGGATACGAAAACCCCAATCAACCTTAATTGACAGCCCCCCGAACCGCGCACCCGTCCCATACGTTCAGGGAACCAGCGAGATGTTGGCGCGGATCTTCAAGAAGGAAGGGGTTCGCATCACGTAGTTGCCTTCGTGTACGCTGGGCCGCCTCCTTCCTCGCTCGAAAGACCAGCCAACAATGGACAGGACTTCCGGTGTCGTTTACAAAATTCCGTGTGCCGAGTGCTCCTCTTCGTATAATGGCGAGACGAAAAACCTACCGGAATGACTGAAGCAACATGCCAACGATGTGCGGAAGCTCTACAAAGAGCGCAGTGCAGTCACCGAACATGCGGAAACGTTGGATCACCGGATAAATTTCGAAGCAACGGCCATCCTTGAAACCGAGCCGAACTGGAGGAGAAGGTTATTACTCGAGTCGTGGCACATACAGAGGACAGCCCATAACATCAAACGCTCTCTCGGAACCCTTCCCCCAGTGTATGCACATTCATTTCACTCCACGGCAAAACGAGAGAGAGAGAGGGGGGGTCAGTATCCGCCCCACGAGTGCTTTGAAGACGCCACTGCTACGTCGTCCCGCCGTAACCCCCTGAGGAAGGAACCAAGTCGGTTTCGAAACGTCGGGTTTTCTTCTCAAAACTTTTGGTTGGAGTCTAAATCATCTCTCAGACTCACAATTGTGTCGCTGGTTTCATTTCGGAAACTTGAATGTCCAGGTAAATTTCGTCCGATATTCTGACATCGCTGCTTAGCCAGACATAGCAATATTAACAGTGACGACGAGCCTGTAATTATTATTATGCATAGTGCTCACATTTGCGATACATTTGCAATAAACAGTGCTTGGGGTTTGAGTGGAAACCAGCTAGCGCGATCGTCTTTCACAGGAGAAAGGCAGGTGCGCCAGCGAGCAATTGCACGGCAAGCGGTTCGAAGAAACGTTCCAAGAATGCGGATTTGCCTAATGCCAAATGTTATACCAAAATTATGACAGGTAGATTGCCACTATCCCTCAAGAGGAAGGTATATACCAGCTGTATCTTGCAGGTACTTAACTATGGAGTAGAAACCTAGAGACTTACAAAGAGGGTTCAGCTTAAATTGAAGACGACGCAGCGAGCAATGGAAAGAAAAATGGTAGGTGTAACCTTAAGAGACAAGAAGAGAGCAGAGTGGATTAGGGAACAAACGGGGGTTAAGGATATCGTAGCTGAAATCAAGAAGAAGAAATGGACATGGGTCGGGCACGTAGCGCGTAGACAGGATAACCGCTGGTCGTTAAGGGTAACTAACTGGATTCCCAGAGAAGGAAAGCGGGTTAGGGGGAGACAGAAGGTTAGGTGGGCAGATGAGATTAAGAAGTTTGCGGGTATAAATTGGCAGCAGCAAGCACAGGACCGGGTTAACTGGCGGAACATGGGAGAGGACTTTGTCCTGCAGTGGACGTAGTCAGGCTGATGATGATGATGATGATGATGATGAAATGTTATACCGAAAGCTATACACGCAAAAAAAGACTTGGCATAGTCATTTGAATGACCGCAGACATTCGAGCACACTTTGGATATTACTAAGCGTCCTTCAATTTTGTCGGTTGGCTGACATCGCATGACTAGCCAATAATTCTTCCAAATGGTAGGTTAAAAGGAGGAGGACAAACGGAAAGGCCAGTTTCGTGCGATAAACATCGCGTATTGGCTTTGTGAATTCACTCATTTGTGAGCTACTGCACGGTCCTAGCGAGCAACAGTTGTTCCGCGCCAAACCAAGAACACCGTGTCGTCAACAGCTCTTTTCGCTTTCCTGGCGAGGAGTGAATTCCGGTAAGTAGTGAACGACTGTCAATGTGTGTTTTTACTTAGGTCTTAACAGAGAGGCGGCGTCGTCTTTGGGAACGCCAAGCACGCACCCCCACGCCGTACATCCCGGTCGTCCCGCAAGGGACAGCGCCGAGTGCGAGTGGATGAAATAGTTCACAAACAATGAAACTTGAAAAAATTGCAGCTTCACACATCTTAAACCGGAAATCTGTGCGTGAGCGAATGTGCTGTCGCAATGCGTCACTTTTGTCGGCCTGTTTGAGCCACGGTCCAAACACTTAAAAAAAAATGCGTTGGCGCTACAAGTGTCCAACCAGGCACTCTCTCAAGGAGAGCGGAGTCACTTATAGATTTTTATAGTCTGTGGCATTCCTTTGCAGCTCAATAATCTGTTTCAGTAGGTACAGCTTTCCCGATATTTTTTATATGGCGAAACGTTTCTAGCAATGCTGACTTTTGTTATTGATATATGCATATATACAGAAGAAAAAATTCTAACGGGCTAAGTTCAAAGAAAACTGGCCGCTTTGCGTCGCCATGTCGGAAGGGTGCCAGGTAAAGTTTAGCTTTTTGCTTTGCATATCTTATGAGTGCAAAATATCGCGATTTAAACGTGATGTTGCCCAGAAGGAATGCAATTCCAGCTATGTGGCCAAACTGCCGCTTGTGAAGGTATACATCCTGACATTTATGATGGAAAAGGACTCCAGAACCCAAAAGGCACCCACGTAACTTTTACCCATCTCTCAAAAATAACGACACCGTTGCGTGGACTACAGAGGCGATCATCAGGTTAACGCTTATTGAACCACGCAGTTTGCTGAGCGATGTGCAAAGCTTTGGCTTTGGTCTGGTACTTTGATGCCTGTGTATTTTTTTATTTTTTTTTTCTTTGGCTGTAGGTGTGGACCTTCGTTGGGCCGCGTCCACAGATTCTTCAGATGTACACCAGTGAAAATCAAATCGAGAATGCCGAAGCCCAAGCGGCAACCTCGACTCGTCTCCTGAATAAGTGAGACACTTCTTAACGAAATCTTCCCCGGATGTATTGAGGACGTTTGGGAGTTCTTTGACCATGTCGTGCTTTCCCTTAGAGGCATTTTTCGACTTCCTCCGCTCTTTACGCGTAGTATTTGGCTTCTTTGTCGGCTTAGGCGATTTCACATCGGACAGCCCGGCGCACTCTAGGCTCGTGACGTCACCTTTTGAAGTGTGGCCGCCCTGCCAACGTCCAATGAGGAGACTGGACGTTTCCACGAGAACTGTATTTAAGGCGCCCCCGAGGGCTGGGAGTAGACATATTTCACCATATACGCCTGAAACTCGCCCGGGCTGTACTGACCGCACACGTGGATCTAAGGTGAGAATTTAGAATACAGTACGCTTTTCACATCCCAGTGCTTAATGTGTGTTATGTCATGTGCTATATACTTTAAAAGCGTTGCGGTTTCATAAAGTGATAATATCTAGGTGATGGTAAATGCGGCTGCTCAGCTTATGGCGAACTATAACCCTGTGATCGGTGGCTGTGGGAACGCAAGCTCGATAAAATATATAAATTACGCTGGCGGGTAATCACAACCTATTACCCAATTATGCCGAGGAGCATTGAAAAAACGTGCCATTTTGTTTCTGCTTTGTACTTTTTTCTCAAATATATGTCTTTTTCTTCATGCATTTTTCTTTAAGAACCGCGCAAGGATTCGTTTGAGTGTGTAGCACAGATTTCATTAAAGTTTTACCCGACGATATGTGCATTATAAACGCGTAAACGTTTTACAGTATCTATAGCGTAGAGCTAGTTCACACATACTGGTGGTGAAACGCGATGACACTGTGCTTATAGCTGAATTTTTAATTGTTAATGGCTTAGAAAGTTCCTTGGTAATTGAGAAAAAAAAGACATAGAAATTGAAACAATAGTAGGCAAAGTAAACGAACATGCAGTCTCCGAGTTGGAAGAGTGCTTTGCCAAGCGAAGGTTGCTTCGCCTTGTACTTGGTATGACAACTTCACTTTTCAAGCTATCAGTACTCCACTGAAGAGGCTTTACCATTTTCTTGCTCTCGGGCCTTGGACAAATCGCATTTTGCGCTTGTTCTCTCGATGTTCCGTTACATTGCAACAAATTATAATAAGATCAGAAAAAACGCTATTCATGGTTCATATATGATAACTTACAAGCACTGTTGCCGAAGCCTGGCCCAAACTTTTTTAATTTTATGGCGTATTAGGGGGGTAGTTAGTCACGATGGAATGTAGAAGCGCATGTCGAAACAAGGACGACACAGAAGGATAGACAAACACAACGCTAGCGTTTTTGTATACTCCTCTGCGCCGTCGTTGTTCCAATGTGCACGGCCATATCCCACCATCCTTCATTTAACTGTTATCTAGAGAACCTGACACTGCCGTTTTGTGAGTTTGTACTTGCATGTCTGTGAAAACTATAGGCGTTACCTTTCTGGTAGATTTCAGTAAATTACTTTACAGTTAACATATGCAAACGAATGTGACTAATATCTCCGAACCGAGAAAGGGGGTTTCTTGTACGTACGTTTGTATTACGTGTGAATGTCTCAAACAGCACTTCATTTACCTTCTTTCCTCGTAGTTAGCTACTACTTGAAAAAACCGTTTCACTCCCGTCTTCTTTCGTGCTCCTGTTTGGATACCCAAAAAAACATACTGCATCCATTGTAGTATGGTGAATATGAACGCACTTATCATTGCAATAGTGTTTCAGACAACCATTTTGATGTCGTGGCGTACGATACAGCACCCCAATTGAATTTTTCGCGACAGGGGATCGAACGGCGTCCGCCGTCGGCATGGCATCGGTGTCCTTCAAGCTTTCCGCGGTCTTGCTCCTGGCGACGCTGCTGGTGATGCAAGGGGCCTACAGCCAAATCACTTTCTCCAAAAACTGGCAGCCGGGCAAGCGTTCTGAGATATGCTCTCAGAAAGAGGCACAAGCCATCATCAAACTACGGCATTTTCTGCTGGTACGTGAGCCTCGTTTCTCTCTATTCTGTCGTCACTCGGGAAAAAAATAGCGTGCGAGTGCGATTGCTTCTGTAGCATCAAAGCGTCTACTTAGTTGCACATATTGCGTGCTCTCCAATATCTTCTTCGAGGTTTTTCAAGACTTGACTGAATTGTTTAGAAAAAATTGACTATCGCAATACTCAAAGTTTTGATCCCAGTCTGGCTGTGAAGTACTGAGCTCAAGTGAATGGTCATGCCCTTAAAATTTCTGCCTTTGCATAAAAATGAGGCCAAGTTTGTTGACAGTGGTGTTATCACAGCTGTTATATGCTAGAACTTGCACCAAACCTTCATCTTAGCTAAAATAGGCTCTGTGAAACGAAGCTTACAAGCATAGGCTTAGGGTTTAGCGTACCTAACACAGCATGACATGGTGAAGAAGAAAATCACTTGGCCCTAACATTCGCGCAGGTCGTATGTGACCTTTGTGTTCTCTCGCGTCGTGTGTTAGCTGTACTACACCCTATAGTACCATGGTGTGCTGTGGCAACAAGCTCAATGCAAAACTTTCAATCTTTTAAGGTCATGTTCGAACCGTTATAATACTTTTTCTGGATATAGCTCAAGCGCAACAAATAATTTTCAGGCGACGTTTGTAAATCTTTTCCTGACGACTTAGCCAACCATCACTCTTTCAGAAAACGACTGTTTCAGTATTAGGAACGTTGTAATCAGGCAATAGTGTGTTAGTGGTTGAATGGATGGTTTCCAATAAATACTTGCAGTTACTTGATTTATTACGAGATGCACTGCTTCAAAATATATTGTTGATTCGCGCATTTTTTCGTACTTCACGTTAACGCCTTTCCCGAGTGGCGTAATCGTCCCATTTTTACGAAACAGTGGATTACAAGCAACAACACAGAGAATATCTGTGCAATTTACTCAGTCTTTAACGTTCAAGTGCATATAAAAGAAATGCAGCAACAACATCGGCAAAAACAACAGATGTTTTTTTTGTGGGTGGTTAGGGAACAAGGAACGGCCATCATGCTTAAGACTCTGTACATGGAGTACGCAACTATAACTTCAAGTAACGTACCGTGCTTGTCGGTATAGAGCTCCCATATCCTCTTGAATTGCACGCAACCTATTGCGATAGAAAGCTAGTATAAACCATTCCTCCAATTGAGTATTCTAGTAATTATTGGAGCTTCACGTGCCAAACTATTATATGTATATCAGAGACGCAGCAGTGTAGGTCTCCGCAAATTGTCACCAACGAGATTTCTTTAACGTGCACCTGAAGCTGAGCATGTGGTCCTCTAGCATTTTGTCTCCATCAAAAAAGGGCGAGTTTCGATCCTGTGACGTATGGTTGCACAATAACCATCGGACCACCGTGACACGTTCTTAGTATTTTCCATGTCACCCTATAGAGCACGAAGCATCGGCTTTGGCACAAAATCCACAGAACGCGTGTACGCAGTCAAATGAGAGACGGAGGTTTTAAAGTCGTTCCACTTTTTTTTTGTGATAGCTGTGGTCATGCACTAGAATCACATGGTTTTTGTGGTACCATGTTTTTTTTTTTCGTATTGGGCTCATCGCTGCGCGAAATACCTCTGATCATTTCAGGAAGAGGCCAAGCACCTCGAAGAATGTCGCCTGTTTTATGGGAACGAAGGTGCCAACGAAGACTGAAAGGAATGATGGTTGTGCCGTGTGTACCGTGTCTATTATTACCATTCATCACAGAAGCATCCTCAGAGCTCGTGCTCGTATATAAGGTGTAAAAACAAATAAATGCACCAAATAACACTGCACAGATTATGTGTACGGCAATACATGCGAAAATAAATGAGCAATATAACACCCCATTTCTTGTCTGCTTGAATTTTTTTTCATTGCATAGTGCCTTGCGCCTTGCACATATGGTACCTCCACCCCATCATACTTCACGCCGTATACCCACAAACGCTGTCTCTGCGCCAACAGCAAACGGAGCGCAGAGCCCGGACTTAAAGTACTTGGACTTCATGGCGATGTCTGGGTTCATAAATTCATCTGTACTGTTTTTGGTGTTGCTATCGCAATAATAGTTTTACTACAACTCATTTGTGATGCCTAATACCCGCTTTCAATTTGCTTGACTATTCGGCTCTAAAGAAGTTTTCATAGGTTATCATGCCTCTTCGCATGAAGTACTAATGAACGTTTAGAGAAGAAGCTAAGACTATCGTCGTCACTGGACACGAAATGGTTTTAGGTCTTTCTGCCAAGACACCAATATTGTAATACGTGATCTCAATAATTGCTGGCTTCTTTATTCGGTACTGAGTAAAACTATAATAATAATAATACTGTGAAAGGTGGCAAACTCAAACTCGGGTAATTCGAGCTTGGGGCCTCATGGCTTTCATTGCTCCTCGCAGAAGTAAGCACAGAGTGATCACAATGTGTTTCAAAAAAAAAAAACCTAATTTACTAGTGATACAAAACAGGAAAACGGCTGCATTTCTCGCACGTGAGAGTTCGGACTCTTAGAAAAACTTGTTAGGCAAGCTGGTGCATGTCTCGTTGTAGGATATGGGCGCAGAATTCGGACAAACAAAGGCGAGATGAAGTAGACAGAAAGAGCACAAACTATCAACTGTCAGTTGATAGATAGTTTTACCGTAAGGTTAAATAGCACACTTTTTAACGTGGACAACAGGAATAAGAAAGACGGGACACTCACTACACCTTATTATCCCAGTTTTCCGCGTTGAAAAGGGCGCTACTTTATTTTGAAGTAAAATGATCAGTCATCAACTAGCCCGATGGAGGCAGAAATGTTGTAGGCCCGTGTGCTCAGATTTCGGTGCACGTTAAGGAACCCCTGTTGAATGAAATTTCTGGAGCTCTCCACTACGGCGTCTCTCATAAGCATAAGGTGGTTTTGGGACGTTAAACTCCAAAAATCTATCACCAACTAGCCCAGCTCTCAACCTTATGGTTAGTTGATAGTTTGCGCTCTTGCTTTTTACTTCGCTTTTTTCGTGTTCGTCCAATTTCTGCACGCATATCCTACAATAAGAGAATTCTGACGCTACGTTGGAGCTATTGGGCAATGTTCAAACAAAAAAAATGCAATCAAACGAAAATAATTTATTTTTTGAAATTTGATTGCATTAACTTTGCCGTGTAAATGACTTGCTTTGAAGCACGAACAGTGTCATAGATTTCGACAATAAGGCTCACTACCAACATGAAAGCATGTCGCTGGTTGTTTCTGACGTTTCTCTGAATGTTAACTAATTCTGTTCGCTGTTAGAGCTCCATGAATGAAATCACCTGCTAGTGTGCCAAAAACGCGTAGTAACCTCTAATCCACAATAACGAGTCCAGAAGTGGCTTCTCTGGGTTCGGCTCATGCAGTGTGGTGCAACGTCTGTTTATTCTAGCGCCCACCCACCAGTTCGAAAGTTTTTATAGTACCCTTTGAGTTCGAATGTACCGAGCTTTTACTGTAAGAGTAATGATACAAATAAATTTATTATGATTTAAAACACAAGTAAATGTCAGAGCTAGAGCTCGCTGAGCTATCAGAGCTGATTATCAAAAAGAAAGTGAGTGGCGTTATATATAGAAGCGGCAGTAAGAGATAGAGGTGGCATTAAACAAAAGGCGGCTGCATCAAAACAGCTGAAATGAAACTGCTTTGGAATGATAAACATGCACGCTCTAAAGAATAAGCAGTACAATATTACCAACAATTTCAATGACATAGTTAAAGTGCCGGAATTCCACTCTGTACTATGTACTTCGCAGATCAAGTCATTCATCCTCGATCAAAAGCAAAGTTGAGTAAGACACGGAAATTCCATACGTAACTACCGATGGGGTTAGAGAGGCCATACGTGATATACCCAGCTGAAAAGCAGCCGGCGATGACGAATTGACAGCTGATTTGATTAAAAATGGAGGGAATTTTTTTTATACGTAAGAAACTTGCGACACTCCACACTCAGTGCCTCAAGAGAGTGAGAAAGGGAAGGAATATAATAAAGGTTACGACTTTAACTAGACATCGTCCAGTTTGCTACCCTGAATGAGGGCAGAGAGGAATAAGGCAGCAAGAGGAAGAGAGAGGAGGTGCACATTGCACACCACATACACAGTGCAGAGTTACACAGGTGGTCGTTCAGTGATGTTGCTTTCAAGAAATGTAGGATTTCTCGTGTGGCCTTTCCTGGCTGATGTACTTGAAGACCATCCACCTAATATCTTTTCCGGAGTAAATGAATTATCATTCAGTCTCTCCACGGCACACTGGAGAGTCCGGGAATGTTGTACAAAGTCAGGACAGTGGCACTTACTATAGTAGTCAAGAGTTTCTACACAGCTGCAATTGTCACACTTGGATGAGTGAGCCATAGCAATGTGAATGAGTCGATAAAGACTACATCGACCCACAACCAACACAGCATGGTTGCGTCACGTCGCGAAGTCTTTGATGGTAGGAAAATAGGAGGAAAAGAACAGCAGGGAGGTTAACCAGTCTATAGGCAGCCGGTTTGCTACCCTGCGCATGGGAGGGGGATAAGGGAGATGAAAGGTAGAGAGGATAGAGGGAAGAGAAATATACTCAGCACATTAAGCAGCACATCTGTGATGGTAGATGTTGAAGTAACGAGCCGAGGTTCTGGGTGTGACGAGTGAATAACAAAAGTGCTAGTGAGTTGGGCAAATACCAACATTATAGGAATTTAAGCAAACAACGGGGTATAAAAGACGTGGCAATTAAGCCCCATCAGCTTGATTTCAGTGATATACAAAATATTTACGAAGGTAATTTCGAACAGGATAATGACACTAATGGCTTAGTGCCTAATGACTAATGACTTAGCCTAATCACTTAGGATGACCCTAATCAACTTAGAGAGCAGACCGGTTACAGGAAAGGATACTCTACCATGAATCACAGCCATGGGATCAACCACGTAACTGAAAACTGTGCCGAACACATCAAACTCATTTATTTAGCTTTCATAGGCTATGACAAGGCCTTTGATTCAGTAGAGATACCGCCATTTTTGAAAGCGCTAAGTCACCATGGATTATCCTAAGTTCAAAAGAACAAATCTTCTAATCCAAAGCTGGTCAAGCGACAAATATCGATTTGTGTTTAATAATGTCCTTTCGAAGTCATGTTTACACTTCACTGACACAAGCTCTGACAACCAAGTTGCACGTCTGTGAGACGCGAGTTACCCGTTGCATGTGTTGTCCGCTGCAGCAAGTAGCATGCTAAATAAATTCAAGAAATCACTGCAACCCCACTGACCATAGGAAGCAAAAAAAGAAGAGAATCGTTTTTCACCGTCCCTCCACTATACCCGTCACAATCTTAAGAAAGTTGTTATTAGAGTTGGCGTCGATATCACGCTACCTGCTCCATCAAAGTTGTCGAGCTCGTGTGCTAAAGTAAATACAAGTGTGTGCAATTCACGCGCGTGTGGAACAAAAATCACCGGAACCATTTGTGACTTGTCTAGAAGGCGTTGTCTATTGCATTCCGCACATATGTGGCAAAGAGTTTGTGGGCCAGGCAGGCATGTGCGTGAATGACCACTTCCCAGAGCACAAGTGAAAAAATTCGCCTTGTCTGGGCGCCTCATCATGCACTGTCCACGTTGCGGTTGCAAGCCACTGTTCAACCACGCCCATGCACTAACCTAAAGTTCTGATCGGCTCACGAGAGGAATTATTGAAGCGGCAGAGATTAAGTTTAGAGACGCTGTAAGCAGCTCTTCAATCTGTCTATTGGAAAAGGAAATGGTATGTTTGTCACGCCAGCCGTCTGCTTGATTTGTTGGGTCGATTGCCTTATGGGCCCCTTTTTCTCCTTCCATCATGCAGAGTTATAAATAAATATATATATATATATATATATATATATATATATATATATATATTTATATATATATATTTATATAATATATATAATATATATAATAATATAAAATATATATATATATATATATATATATATATATAAAATAAGGGAAAGAAGTGTATACCTAAGGGCTCGTTTTTCCGTGTTTTTAACACAATAATAATGAGATATAACAGACAGTAATGCCAAGGAATGTACAGGGGAAGTTATTAACATTAATGGAATGTAAATAAGAAGAAAGAAAAGTGGATGAAAAAATTACCAACTGTAAGCAGGAATCGAACCTACGACCTTCGAATATATATATATATATGTATATGAGTGAGACATCTTCGACACGCTCGCACTTTCATGTTATTTTTGATACACAGAGCACTTGCTCAATATCAATAGCGTAAGAAAAAGGGCATTAGGCAGCCTGCACTGAGACAACACGTATAGGTTTGTCATGCATGATTTATGTAGTATGATTATACACGACGCTTTTAATGAATTACCTCACAAATTTCCGCATGAATATAATTATGTTGATGGTGAACTCCTCAACAGTGAACATTTTATCATAGAATGAAATTTTTAATGACTAAAAGAGCTCAAAAAGAATTCAGTTGTTTAAATGTGAAGCAGTCCTTGAGGAACCCAATATATTTCTGAGCATTTCTATCTACCTATTTACCCTGCTGCGGTGGTCTAGTGGCTAAGGTACTCGGCTGCTGACCCGCAGGTCGCGGGATCGAATCCCGGCTGCGGCGGTGGCATTTCCGATGGAGGCGGAAATGTTGTAGGTCCGTGTGCTCAGATTTGGGTGCACGTTAAAGAACCCCAGGTGGTCGAAATTTCCGAAGCCCTCCACTACGGTGTCATAATCTAATGGTGGTTTTGGGACGTTAAACCCCACATATCTATCTATCTATCTATCTATCTATCTATCTATCTATC